ACTCCGCATACGCCCAAAGGTCCTGTCGGTCTTTTGAGAATTTTTCTCTCAAGCGTATTAGGTTTTCTAAGGCATTGGAACAAAAAACCAGGATACTCCAGTATTTTCATTAACTTTGGAGTTTGAAAAAGCGTTACAGTTTGAACTGTTATTTTATTATTTGCACTTGAGATGTTCGTGCAGAGTACATTTGCGTTTGCACAACCTTCTTTTTTTCTCTGAAAACGCTCGCGGTTATTAAGAAGAATTACCAGTTAATTATGTTTCTAGATTTATGCTGCCACAAAATTTCAGAAGCGTATCAATTGCTTTTTTTCCTGAAAGGAAAACAATTTGAGAGGTGTGCCTTGTGTGGTGTTAAAATGGTGAACTTATTTGAAAATTACCCAACTGGAAAGAAAATAAACATACGAAGAATAATGGAAGACTTGCTCTGGTATTAAAGTTGTATTTTGTGCAAAGAGATTTTGAAGAACTTTGCTTTTGTGACGTATTTCTCAATAAGTTTCTCATCATAATTACTGATAACTCACGATTCATGTGTTTGGGATAGTAGCTGAGCTTTAATTGTGCTAATGACTGTCTCCTCGCTTCTTTCTCTTCCTTCGCAAATATCAGAGGATTTAGGGTAAACCTGGAAAAAAACTGTACCTTATGGGCAAAATGTCTAGGAAACTGTGATTGAAGTCATGTGTTTACTAGAATGAGCTGGGATATATATTTGATAAACACAGCATTTATTCTTTTTTTAAAAACTGCTCAACCACTGATTATACCCGGCTCACAGGATCTACCTACCTCTTTTGAAATAGAAAAACGCAGTTAAAGGAGGATAGTGAGTTAGTTTTTAGCGCCTGTAGTATCGTAGACCTGTAGTAAACTGCGGTAGGGCAAGTTTACCATTTTTGTTAAAGATTCAAAGAACGGCAGCATCTATAGTCAAACAACATTACAATGTGAGACCATCAAAACTTTTTCACCCAATTTTATTCCTAAAAAGGTGCCGGAAGGCTTAGTTTCATAAATTCGTCTTTAACCCATAAGCAGTACAAGACAACTTGAGGGAATTCCCTTTTTCTTACCATGGCTTACTCTGTGGTCCCTTTCTCTCCAACTGTGTTCAATGATGCTTTACGAAAGTGTAGTTGTGCATCATAAACGTCAAAAGGCATGCAAGGCTTTCCGTAAGGCTTATCGGCTTATCATTATTGTCGCTTGCGATGCCTTCAGAAGCTGTTGGCTTAACATTACAGTGGCCCTTCGTGTTCACGTCAGTCGTTCAAGATGAATTATGGCTTTCGGGTTATCCCAGGCTAATCGGGTCCGCAAAAGGTCTCGGTCCAATGAGTTTAGTTGCAAATTGCACTTTGAACCTTTGAAATATTTTAAAAGCCGGTTTGTTGAGAGTACAAATACTTTATAGCATCAGCACAATGGATGTCTCATTAACAAGTTTTATTTCTGAAAAGAAAGCAATGCATGGAGATGACAAAGCATCGTTGATCACTATTCGATAAACCATCGGTTTTTCAAAATAATGTAAACCATTTTGCCTCTTAAATGATAATAGAGAGAAGGGACTTGACACCTACCGAATTGGTAGATTGACATATGTATAAAAATAATTTCATAAAGCCCTTGCTTTAGTTACACTATACAGGTGTGATTTTTTATTCAGCATTAATGAGAAATTATGAGATAAGAAGAGGATGCACTATAGTCAATTTTGAAAGATGTTACTTTGTCTAGTATTACAAAAGCCTCTACATTCCTGTATTGAGATTATTGAGCGGGTAAAATACGCTGTCTTGTCTTGAAGCGCCTTTCTGAAGATTACTATTTTAGAGCGAGTGAACGACTAGACGATCAACTTTCAAACAACCACGGGATAATTTCCGAAAATTTCGAGAATTTTTGATTTCTACAAACCAACTTGCATCTATGTTCTTATCGTGATAAAATGCAACATTGAAAGGAATAATGGTTTACTGCGAAATCTGAATTTATTCCGGTCTTTATTTGAAATTAATGAGACAACTTAAAATACGCTAAGACAAATAACCAATCTTACGTAGGTGAAACTATATTGATGGCAAGGAGTACATAGTTGATTAT